TCGCGAGTGATGGGAGGATTCTAGCACCTATAGCACATCTGACTCCCAAATGTACTCGTCCCTTAGAAGGGAGGGCATGCAAGAGGGAGGCTGCCAAGCGGTCCTGCATCTCAGACCCCTCTTCCCTGATCTCTGTACATGCATATATGACATTTAATCACTTGGCAGAACCCTAATTGCATAGGAGTGAAAAAGTCCTAAACAGCTAAGAGGTCCACTTACCCAGTATTGCTAAACATCTGGTAAATAGTCACATGGTCCCTAGCGAGCACACCCGCATCCAGGAACTCCTGGGCCAAGGTTGGCCATTCCAGATGCAGCTTCTCTGTTAAGGAGTTCTTCCTTGAGTCTGGCCCCTGGGCACCCCACTGAGTCCACCTTTGGTCCAGACATTACCTTTCCGGATGTTCATTCATGCACACAGCTGAAGACATTTACTGACAGCCTAATGTTGCCATCCACCATGCTGGGTCCTGGACTGATGGACCATAAATACAAACCTGCTCCCATGAAAGCCGCGGAACCGTGCCTCCGTCATTCCTCCATGGCATGGTCTTGCATTCCTTCATTCCCCTCGTCTCTCTCCACTGGACTTGCTCTAACTGGCCTGTGTCCCTTGGCAAGTGTTATGTCCAGAAATGATACTGGAATCAGTTCAAAAATGCAATAAATAACTCCTCTTTTACATTCCATTTTAGAAAAATGCAACCTAAGTTTAGGCAGTCATGAGGAAAAACAGATTAAGGGTAGAGGTTTAGGAGTCAGATAGTACAGGAACAAGTATCAGTTCATCCACTTATCTTGGGTAAACAAAGCAAATTGTCAAATCTGGATGTCAGCAGCTTTACTTTTAATTCGTATCACCAGGGCAATTAAAAGGAGTCGTGAAATAATGCATTGAAGTGCTTCGTATGGTGTCCAGCCCTTAGCTCATTATTCTACATGCCCACAAACCATGGTTATTCTACATGCCCACAAAACCATGCATTTCTTTTCATATGTGCTTCTGATCCCAGGTATTTTTGACATAGTGCAGGTCCTAACATCATTGAGTTTTACCAAGTTCTACCAAGTTTGTTAAATTTGCCCTGTGCCTTCAGCCTGCTATTTGGAATCCTGCATTCGTCATATAACCTAATGTCCTCATGTAACCTATTCATCAAATAACCTATTGGGCTTGTCCTCAGTGTACCTTCAATGTCCTCATCCTAGGAAGGTGTGGATAAGTAAGGTCAAGGGAAGAGGCCTGGAGTCTGTCTGTGGAAACTTCCTTCCAGGTGAGTGTTACCTTTTAGTGAATATTCTTTGGCCATGCTTATTCAGCCAGTCATGACCTTGTAAAATCTCAAAATCATTTTATGAAGTCCTCCCAGATTGAAATTTGACTACCATTTTGGTATTGTTTTCTTCAGAAAAAATGTTGTGTGTCTATGGAACATGAACAACTCCTCTATTTCTTTTTCTCATAAAGTTCTTACATTTAACTTGCTTCTTCCATAAGTCTGTAATTCAACATGTTCTGGCACAAATCAGAATCAAATAATATTATGGCTTGCCTCAACAGAATAATATTTTGTGAAAAACTTTTATGAGAAAATGAAGCTGTTTTGCTTTCTAAAATTAGTTTAAAATAAAAAGTATAACTTAGAAAAGTATGCATGTTTCTTTCTATACAGAAATAACTTGGGTTGCTTTTTAGATAGAATAAAAAAAGTATGTAAATATTGTTGAGCAATTAGCATTAGCCCTTACGTTTCAACATAAAGTTTTTCAGATTGGTCAGAATAAGACCATCAGACAGGTTGAAGGAGGCCCACATTACCAGTGAGAGAGGGAGCCACGGAGCACATGGTTTCAGATATACAAGGCTGCTGAGGTGTGGCTGGTCTCCTGGGCAATTTTAAGGAGGTTTGATTGACCAGAGGTACTTAAAACAAGTTAGAAGACAGGCCATATATCCATGTTGTGTAGGCAGAATTCTAATTTGGTCCCCAAGTTCCCCATCCCCTGGTGTACATGCCTTCCCAAATCTCTCTACTGGAGTGTGAGTGGGACCTGTGAATATGATGGGTAATTTTGTGTTAATTTTTAAAAAGAGGTTATTCTGGGTGGGCCTGGTCTAATCAGGGGATCCTTTATAAAAACGTCCAAGAGATTCAACATGAAAGAGAGTCTCCATGCAGCAAGGACTCTAAGTGGTCTCGAAGAGTTGAGAGTGACAGCCAGTAAGGAAATGAGACCTCAGTCCTATAAGTGCAAGACCTGAGATCTGCCACATCCAGTGAGCTAGGAAAAGGACCCCAGCCTCAGATGAGATCACTGTCCTATCTGACTCCTTGATTTCTGCCTGGTGAGACCCTGAGCAAAGGACCCAGTTACCTTGAGTCTGGACCCCTGACCCACAGAAAGTGTGAGATGATAGATGTGCATTGCTTCCAACGGCTGGATTCATGGTCATGTGTTCCTGGGTGGTAGATAACTAATACACATGGGGACGAATTAACAGTAGGAAGGAGAGCTGCTCAGAGGGCCCATAACTCAAGAGGACATGTCCAGAGTCAACTGGCTTCCCTGATGGTGGGTTTTCATGTGGCCACAAGAAAACCTGTACAAGACTGATATTTCCCACTGAACATTGCACATGGAGACATAGATTCTCTTTCCCTCTGCTGCAATGGCTCTCTGACCTCAGCATGCATCAGAATCATGCATCAGACCAAAAGCTTGTCAGAATGCGTGGCAGGGCTCTACCCACAGAATTTCTGGTTCAGGAAGTCTGAGCTGGGGCCTGGGAATCTGCATGTCTATCATATTCCCAAGTGAAGTTGATGCTACTGGCCCTGGGACCCCACTTTGAGAACCACAGCTCTCTGATAAATAAAGAGGTCCTACTTCCCTTTAATATTTGACTTCTATACCCAACCTTTTCCTCATTGGATATAAAAACATTTTAACACATTCTTAAAACCCAGGTTAAGATAAAGAGAAGGAACAGAAATCGCTGTAACTTTGAGTAGTCTGAAGTGTTTTTTCCTCTCTGAGTAGCCATCCCAGAACTCGTAATCAAGTGCAGTGATGAGAGACCAATTAAACGAGGCTTTTTAAAATGCCGTGTTGTGTCCACAGTTCAAGGCCCATTCGGGGGCCTGCGGGACATCGGTGCTTTCCCTCTTTGCCATCACCTCCCAGCTGCAGAGCTTCAGGGGATCTCTGCCACGTCCCCAACCAAGGCAAGGCCCCTCTGGGCCCTTGTTCCCAGGTGACAGGTGCTGCAGCGACACAGACAGGTGCTTGGGATGGGCAATGACTCCTCTGAATGCATTAGTCCTGACAGGCTTCTTCACCATCAACCTTGCGAGACTTGGCAAAGGCATTAGAGTGGGAGCAAAAATGAAGTCTTGCCTGAGATACGAGAAGAGCAGAGAGGCCACCAAGTGCTCAAAAAGCTATTGCAGGGATCCCACTAATGACAAAGCCCCAGAGTCCACAGAAGACAAGAGTGGACAAATCTCTCACCAGGAGAAGTGATACTGCACAGGGACAGGGAGCATCCATGAAGGCAAACCCAGAGACGGGAGAAGCAGAGGGAGAAAAGTTTCATATTCGATTACAAATATGAACTGAAGAGTGCTCTGGAGTCCGACTAAGACAGGAGCAGAGAGCTAATGTTATTTTGAGATGTAATGTAAGTAATATTTATTTGGGAGAACACAGCATTATCATGTTATCCGAAATTATCCCTGTGGCTTACACTTGCCATAAAGCTTGCTAATAATCTGGGTTGGGGAGGGGTGTGTTGGAGAACCTAACTGAAAACATCTGCTAAGATTAAATATGATAATCAGGTTTTCTTTTTATCATTTTGCTCATGATATAATCTTGGAGGAGTGGAATTGAGTGATTATCCCAGTAAACTTGTATTTATATGCAGACTGTAGGTGTCCTTAACTTTGCATTGCAAAAAAAGATGACCGATCTTTTCCATTAGAAAGGTTTGGGTCACCCCAGCTGCCAGCTTTTATGCCTTTTTTTTTTTTTCTCCCTAAGGAGATACAGGCGCTTTATGGACCCTTCCCAAGCTGCTGCAAAATGATTGATGGTTGGCCTTCTTTTAATCCAAGTAATGCAGAGTGTCTGAAGCTTTGGTAATCGGATCCTACTGACTTGAAGGACCACTGCCAAAATATCCATAGCACAGAGGTTTGGCAACTCGATTTAATCATAGCAAAAGGATTACAAAGTGCAAAACAAGCCCCACAACAGCTATGAAATGGGCCAATTCAGAAACTGACTCAGGCTAAGAAGTTGTTCAGTGTTGTTGTCTCTCACTTGCTTTGTATCCCCTGCTCAAACTGCCTTCACCTTGGCCAAGGCTGGAGGCATCTGTGACACACAGAAGAGAAAAGATGTCAAGGGAAATCGACACGAGATCATAGACACCGTGTCTGGTGACATGTCAGGCTCAGGGCCCGTGGATTCCCAACGGCGACTCCCAGGTCCTCTGAAAGGGAGACCACATGGCAAATTTAGATGCTATCCCTCGTTTCTTTAGAGCGAGAAATTGTGGCTCTCTGTGATGCCTGATTTACCAACAAGAATATAGTTTGCACTGAGAGCCGTGGCTTGTTTGCCCTTCAGCAAATGTATTAGGATCACAGAAGAAATTAAGGGAGATTTTCTGACCAGACATTTATGTGGAGTTTGTCAGAGCCCCAGCTTCAGAGGCCTCTTTCCGTGCTGGGCAAAAATATGGAGGTTCCAATGTGAAACCTTCGGTCCTTCTGCTCCAGGAGAGGCTAGGGATAAGAGAATGCCAGCAAGAAGGGCCTGGAGAGGCCAGCTCCGTCTGGGCGCCTAACACCCTATTTGCTTGGCTCTCACTTGCATGAGTTCCTGGACAAAACAAAATTCTAACGCAAAACCCAAAAGTTCAGCACACGTCTCTATTAGGCAACTTTAGTCGCTTAAGAAAAAAAAAAGTGCAAATGCAGACTCCTGCATAAATCTGATTTGCCATGCTAGGCCAAGCTTGTTTTATTACATACATTCTGCATCCTAAGAACTAATAACTTCATATTGTAAACATTAAGCATACAGAGTTAAAAGTCAAGGCCACATTCTATCGTTGATTGTCTCTTTTGTCGTGTATCTTTGGCTGGCCGAGATCAACTCGTAGTGTATAAATGCATAAGTTATATAATTATTATATAAAAAGGAAAAACAAAACAAAACATTGACTTGTATACTTCATTCTGACAAACGCACAGCGTTCGCGACTCGACAGGGAAACCGGAGCCTCTGCCTAACCCAAATGCCTCGGTGGTTTCAGATGGCAACATCCAAGGAGGCCACCTCTTACCTGACCCTGTGGGGACCGGAACCCCTACCTTGCGATGAGGTCCCGAATGTTTCTTTTAAATATCAGACAATTCCAGTTAAAATTTTCTTCTGACAAACAAACAAACAAACAAAAAAAAAAGAGAGATGCATATTTTTGTTTCGGGAATCCTATGGCTTCCCCCTTCCTCCGCTGCGCGGGACTCGTAATACTGCGTTTGGTAGAACACTGACCGATTAACCCACAAGTCTCCTCCATTCTCTTCTCCAAGTCTCTGTACTGTCCTAAGTCCAGTCTCTCTGCTCGACAAGTGTCTCTCCCAGCCCCATGGCCTCGTCCTCCTCCGCTCCCTCCTCTTCCACCTCCTCCAGCCCTCCATCTACACCCGCACACTCACTGTCCACACACACGTTCTCAGCCCCGCTGCCCCACCGGGCTCACAGTCCCCACAATACTGTCCGGGATAAAGCTGGCAGCCTTGGGTTGTCTTCAGGGGTTAGCGAGAGCTGGTGGCTCTCCACCCAATGGAAAGAATCTGATTTCCCACCAAAACAGCACGTGTCGCTGAGCTCTATGTGGTCGTTGGTTCATGGGCCGCAGTCTCTTTTCTTTCTCTTTTTAATTTTTGATATGTTTCTATTTTTAAATACAGGTAGTTTTCCTTACAACGACATTCCATTGGTGTGTTAGGTCAAGACTGCGTTACCACTGTCCCTTTACTCTCATCCCCCCTTGGCACCAGCAGGACCCCAAACTCTCCTCGGAAGTTTGTACACTTCTCAAGAACACTTTCTTTGGCACTTTGTCCTTGTGACGTCATACTTCTACTTACAATGTCTTTTACAGGTTTGGTCCACACATGATATGTCTGTATACATTACATTTGTAGCATCCTCTTTCTTCCTGTAAAAATACCCTAGTAATTCCCTCCTACCAAGAGTCTTTGGATCTCTTCCCTGGCTTCCTTCCCCAGCGCCACTCAAGCTACTTCACTCCTCTTGAGGCACTTTTGATTCACGTTCTTCAATAGAGTTTGTGGCAATTTCTTGGTGATCATTTGCTGTTGGGAAAGGCCTCCCTCCCAGCTCTAGTAGTAAGTGCCCAGATGTGAGGGCATATGGCCGGCCGGAAGCCTCGTGTTGGGGTATATACCTCCAGTTGGCGAATTCCAGTAAGGGTTTGGGGTGGCGAAGAAACTGGACGATGTCACAGGGAGGGCCGGAGGGTGGGGGGCCACAAAGTTCATCTTCTGAGGGTGGGCGTGATAGGAGCCCATGTAAGGGAGGTCCGAGGGGTACTTGTACAGAGATGATTCTGGAGGGTGGGGCTGTAGGGCCTGGGCGATCCCATGGAAGTCAAACTTGTAGGCGTAGCGCTTCCCGTGGACTTTGGTCATGATATTTTTGTCATAGTAGTAGCGGAGGGCACGGCTGAGTTTATCGTAGTTCATATTGGGTTTGCTTTTCCGTTCTCCCCAGCGCCGGGCAACCTCATCAGGATCGGTCATCTTGAATTCCCCATTGGTGCCTTCCCAGGTGATGCAGTTGGAGTTTGAGCTGTCTGACAGGAGCTCCAGGAGAAACTGCCAAAGCTGGATCTGTCCACTCCCTAGCGAGGTGGGAAAAGGAAACGGGACACCCGTGAGAACAGGCTCTGAGCAGAAGGCATTGTTTCTTCAGTGACAGAAGTGGGTGCTAGTGTTGTTCCACGCAAATCCCTTAACCTGCCCATGCACCCATCCCTCAGCTGTTGGGGGTGGCCCTAGCTCTCGTCCCACAGCCTTCCTCCCTCTTCTCCAAAAAACGACCCTTGGCTGAACAGAAGTTGTTTCACCCACCCCAGGGAGCCCATGGACGGAGGGGCTGACACCATGGATGAGAGGCCTATCTCCCTGCCCCAGGGAGGGGCCCACTGTGTGAGCTGCTCGTATTCCGGGTCTCCCCACGGGATCAGACCATGGCAAGCTTCTGGGTAAGGCCACTAGCCCCCACAGCCTGACCCCTGCCCTCTCCACTTCATCATTGCCTCTCTCCCAGAAACACACACTTTGCTGATCACTTCCACAAGTATATCCTTATCCCAAGCCCTGTGTCTAGGGAACCTGACCCAAGGCCAGGATCCTTGGTGACTCTCAGGTGGATCCGCAGATCCAAGTCCTTTCCAGAATGCAAAGAATTCCTAAGGGGCCAAGTTTATGTTGGTCCCATCCATTTCTGACTTCCTTAGAAGACCAGCCAAGTCCACTTTGCATTTCAGGGGTGAAAGGGTTTATTTTTCCTATTTTGTGAAGCAGAAAGTGCCATTATGGCGATGGCAATAATGACTTAATACCATTTATATTGGCAAGGTCAAGCGAAATAATAAAAGTCAGATTTAGGAAATGAACTTCTAAAAGTTTATGGAAAAACCTAGAGAATGGAAGTAAACACCGTTATTTCTAACATAACATTTTGCTGGCACCCAGAAAGCAATTCTGTCAAAACTTTTCCTAGAACAGAATTAACCCACTCAGAATGAGGAAGTTTAGAAAAAGGTTGGCTCTTTTTCAAACCAGATCACCTATTTCCAGTACTTGGGCAACTGCATCGTAACGGAAATCCACGTGTTGCCCCCGCATTGCGACACCAGCTGTGTTCAGGAGAGTTTCCCGAAGAAGAACGGTGCGTGGCTGCGAGCCTTTTGGGGGCCAAATGAGACTCCATTTTTTTTATCCCGCTTGGGACATGTGGATGTGGCTTTTAGGTTTTAATAAATTCTGAGAGACATCCAGGCACATCATTCTAGCCACCATGTTATACCACTGTAAGATGATATACGGTTCCCCACAGGAGGAAAGCATGAAAATATCGACAGTGGTAGTGAGCACGGGGAGAAGTTAAGATGTGCTGAACAGATTTGAGAAGCTTTGCAAGCAAATAAGAGGCACGTCTTTCCACCCAAACTCCAGCTACAGCACTGCCTCGGGCTTATACCAAAAAGATTACTCTTTATTACACGTTCAGTAAATATCAATATATGTGATAAAATGATTAAAGCAACTTTAACTGGCAACTCTTCAGGGAACTGACATTGTGCAAAAATCAATTATAAATTTGCTTTTTCCTAATTCCTTCCCCCTCCTTAGCTCCCTATATAAGCTGTCCAACTCGTAAATCCTTGTTTCCACATTGACTACATGGAAATGGATATGTTTGTGAATTCATCCATACAATAGCATCGTGAGAAAGGTCAGCCTTTTCTGAATGTGTTCTGGAAAATTATAATTTTCAGTCTTGCAACACATTTGAAATATATTAACAGCTTGTCGTTCATCTCAATGGAAGCCTGTGCTTTTTCCGAACCACATATTCAAACTGTTCCCAATCAAGTTCTGTTGCCCCCAACATCTCATTAATATGCATTTTTAAAAAAAATACAAAGAATGGTATGAGAAAACCATATGGTTTTAGTATATATATTGTAACCAAAGGATTACCACTTGAAAAAAATTCCATATCGGACCTGGGAATAGGGAAAAACATGGATTTTCTTTTTTGGATTTTTTTATTTAACATTCCAACTTATGCTTCAACATAAACACATAGAGTTGTCTGAAAATAAATATTCGCTGTCAGCCTCCTCCCACAGAGAGATTAATTCCACAGATCTTGCATAAATACACAGAACTTCCTAAATAGCCAGAAAAATACTTGGTATTTATTCAAACCTTGGCATTGCTCTTAAGAATCTGTCCCTTGCCCATTTCCTTTGTAAACGTGTATAGGAGAGAACCCGTGGACAAAAGTGGTTTCCTATCTTTCCTGCTCCTGAAGAACTAGAAAGTCAGGGACCTAAATTCATGGCTGGAAATTCAAAGATGAGCAATTTCTTCAGCAGCTTTTTGTTGTTGTTGCTCTTTTTGTGTTTTTTTTTTTTTAATACACACTTCGTAAATTGTAAACCTTCACTTGCAAAAATTACAAACACACTGAGGCATTTTAGACAAAATATTTTCTTACTTATACAGATGCAATACTGCAATTTCTTACTAGACCATTTTACCCAGCAGCCTTGAAGACACAGGGCTCAGGCCTCTGAGCATTTCAAGGGTCTATGGCAATCAGAGATCTATAAACAAAATTCATCAGCTTCTAAACCCAAGCACAAAAACAAAAATGGAAAACCAATTCCTGTTTAAGTAAATGTTACAAAATGCAACACAACGTCAAGCTCATTCGTTGTTAAATTTAATATTCATAACAAAATCCGTCATATTCCCAGTATAGGGCAGGTTTTCTCACTGTGAAAGAACTGTCAAGGATGCACGTGGCTGCTGAGAACTCAGCCAGTGCTAGGTTAACTGAGATCCTTGTGGCCACAAATTTCAGAGCAATTAAAACAGTAACATTTGATGCATGATAAAGGTGCATTTTAGAACATACAAAAGGGAATCCAAAACAAGGATACCTAAGGTTTAGGAAGCGTTAGAGGGGTCTGGGTTGCTCACTGGCCAAGACAGAAAGTGAAAGAGAAGCTCTTACATTTGGGATCTGCCCCCCCAGGAGCCCTGCCACCTCCCCCAGTCCATCACCTTCCTTCTGGAAAACGCTTCACATCTGTTTTCTTGCCCTGTCTTGGTAACAGTCTTGGTTTTGTCTAGGGTAATTAACCAAATAGCCAGAACTGGTGGGAAAAACAAAGACCTCTCGGCTGTCCACCCACAGGAGAGCCCAGTGGGATGAAAGGGGGAGGGGTGCAGCCTGAAATAGAATGAATGAAAGGCAATCCTTTCATTTCTAGAAGGAAAGTGGTCTCTATGCAATTTAAGGAAAGAAGAGAAATAACAGTAGCAAAGAGGGTTGACTGAGCAGAAAAGGGAAAAACATCTAAAAGGCTTACAAAGCAGAGAAAAGCAGAGCTGGGAATGACTCAGCAGCTGTGGGTCCAGTAGGAGAGGTGTCCCCAGAGCAGGGCACCATGACCACCACCTGATGGAGGGGCAGAGCAGGGGGGGCCCAATGAGCACAGGGTGGCAGCCCATTAGGGCCCCTTTCTACCGCAGCAGGGTATGCTGCAAAGAAACCCCTGTGCTCAGCGTGGCCCCTCCACCATGTTAAGCTCCAGGCAACAGGTGCGTCCCAGGCGGAAAACTTTGCCCCAGGCTGTGTGTGGCTCTGGCAGGACTTGGTAGAGGACAGGGCAGTACAGTGGCTGCAAGCACCACTTTAGAATCATCACTGCCTCTGAGGACTCCTGACACTGGCACATACAGGACCTTGGGCAACTCACCCAGCTCTCCATGCCTCAGTGCTCTCCTCTGTAAAATGGGGGTGATGGTAATGGTACTATCTCACTGGGTCACAATAAGGATATATTCAGTACATGAAAGTTTGAGCTGAAAATCAAGAGTTTAAAGAGAGGCACACACCTTGCCTAGAGCTGTAAGATGACAAAAGGAAGCCAAGTGCCCCCCCCACCACATCCTGTGCACACATTTCCCTGCACACGGCCCCCGCCCCCCGCCCCCGGCCCCCTTTGGCCAAGAAGAACAGCAAACAGTATTTTCAGGGCTGGCTGATGGTCACTGAAAGCCTACTATGCACCAGGCACCATTCTGAACATTTTATATTTATATGTCTTTTTAATCCCCCCCCCCAATTCATGTGAGGTCCCATTATGGAGGTGAGGACATTAGAGCCCAGAGAGGTAGAGTGACTTATCCTGCCCAAGGTCAGCAGGGGTTGGAACCCAGACTCCAAGCCTACGTGACAAATCACAGCACAAACCATTGCTTTCGGGCCCCGCTTTCTGCACACATCTCCACACTCCTTACCCCTCTCCAGATTGTCCCTTCCCTGGGCCCGCAGCTTGGGAGGTCCCCAGTGGAAGACCAGGCACTCCCATCTCCAAATAGATGGCAAAAATATCCCTAACACTGGTGTCCAGGTGCACTTGACGCTGGATACGCTTCATGCCCACCACTGAAGAGCATCCTGTTAGCATCAAGGGAACCACCCGAGAAAGCACGTTCACAGAAAAGTCAACTTCAGTTCATTAGAGAAGCCGCCTTAAATGTGCAGCCGTTCTAATGGGACATAAAGCTGCTGCGTGGCTTATCCATGACCCATCACATAATTCTGCAGGGACACACCTCTCAGCAGGAGAAATACAGCCCATCAAATGCACATCAAATGAGTATCTGGGACCGAGACACTGTGATGCTCTCATTATCCTGCCCACGTATGCACGATGATGTCACCTTTCCATTTAAAATGATTAAGTAGAGTTTGCATTATACAAAGAGCAAAGGCAGCAATTTTAAGTGATGAAGGATTTATTTATCAGAGAATGGGAAAATAGAATCAAACAGGAAGAGGCATTCTCATTCACAGGAAGATAAAAGACATTCCGGGTTTGGGGTCAGAAGGCCACATGAACACAACTGACACGCGGCCCAAGGAGAGATGGAGAGAAGGCCTAATTCATTATAAGCGGGGTAAAATAAATCTTTATCCTCCAGCCCTGAGTGGGGATGTTGGCGCCTTCCCCAGGCTCAGGGAGGATGGTTTTGTGACAGAAAGTGCGGTCTTCGCCCCCAGTGCAGACCTGCCCACCTGCCCACCTGCCAGCACCGAGACGTTTTCCCCGTGTCTGAACAGTCGTAGAACTAAATGGAAATCCTTCATTTCTAATCTCTTGGCCTCCATTCTCCAAGCCCTCCTTCCTCCATCATGCTTACTCAGGGGCGGCGTAGGATGAGAAAATAAAACCAGACTTGGGTGACAGTCAGGGCTCAAATTTCACCTCCCTTCTTATTGGCCGTGTAACTCCGGGAAAGTTACCTAATGTTGCTGGATCTCTGAGACCTCTCCTGCAGAAGGTACACAATACCCTGTCTGGGCTGTCACTTGGCGGCCCCAGCAACATGAGAGCCTGCCCGGGCATTACGCAGGGTGGGGGGGGGGGGTATTTGTTATTTCACACGATTCTATTAATGTCCCCAGAGTGCTTCTGCTTCCGTTCCTTTCCTTGTTCTAATCTATCCTGAACAACGCGGCCAGATCAGTCTTCCTGAAGCACGACTGATAATAGTCATCTCAAAACATGGTAATCATTTTTAGTTGAACAGTTATGGAGCTGTCATACGTGAGCACAGGGACGAGGGGGGACCAGAGACCCAGGAACCTTGGCCACCAGTTGGATGCTCGCTGAAGGGAACAGAGCCCGTGCCTCCGTGGACAGAGGTTGTAACCACCTGTGTTCATTTCTCCACCAGAATGTCAGGTCCGTGAGGGTCAAGACAGTGTCTCCTTATTCCCCGCATTCATTTATTCAACAAATAATTATCGAGTGCCTGGTCCAGTTCCCAGGGTGGAGTAGGAAATGAAACAGTCCCTTAGTTCAAATGCCTAAATGTATTTGCTGAACTAGTGAACGTTACCTAAAACCGAATGTTAAAGCTTCAGACACTCAATAATGATGATATTTCATGTTCTCAAAATATAGATTCCCTTGCGGGGATGCATGCTGATTGAATCTGGACTTTTCCATTCCCAATCCGATTTTGGCCTCAGTGTTTAGGAAATATACATTCCAGCTTGTCCTTGCAATATGCCTGTGTCATCTTGGCATCTAAATGTGCTGTTGAGAATACTAAGCATATGCTGTGAATTTCTGAAGCTGAGGCCAGCACAGCTGGCTTTAATCTGAGTACAAACAAATAAAACAGTTTGGTGGGCACTGAAATGTGATGACAGGTGACGATCCTTGGCAAGGTACGGGTCATAAGGGAGCCAGTTAAGAACGCGCACTTTCTTCTAGCCTCTAAGTTCAAAATCAGACAGTGCATTGATGATGATCCTAGATCTGAAGCCTTAGAGTGGAAATTAAGGTTCTCCTTTTCAAGATATTACTTAATTGGTTTGTGCGATGGGTTCGGTTGTGTCCCCCCAAAATGCCTATGTTGGAATCCTAACCTCCAGGATCTCAGAATGTGACCTTATTTGGCAATAGGGTCTTTATAGAGGTGACCAAGTAGAAGTAACGTCAAGGTAGGTTCTAATCCAATATGACTGGAGTCCTTATAAAGGGAAATTTGGACACAGACAGACACATACACTCAGAGAAGACAGGTAAAGAGACACACAGAGAAGACAACTATCTACAAGCCAAGGAGAGAGATCTGGAACAGATCATTCTTCACGGCCCTCACTTGACGCTTGACACTTGGACTTTGGACATCTGGCCTTCAGCCTGTGAGGCAATAAATGTCTGTTGTTGGAGACCCAAGGGAAGTGATATAGCTTACATTAGCTGACACTGCTCTTTGCTGAAGCTAATGTCTTAATTCCTAATGTGATCCATTTTTCCCCACTTAGGCAAATAATCCTATGAGATCTAAACTCAACTTTGTTCAGGTGAAGGGATTTCTCACCAATACAAGTTAATCTTACAAAACAGCCACAGCCAAAAAGGGTAACTTTGTTAGGAGCAAAACCACCAGCATGATCTCACCTGGGTTTGCAAGGCGGCTACTTGTTGGTCCAAGAATCTGATAAGGATCTAGAAAAAACAAGACAAAACAAAAACAAAAAAAAAGAAGAAGTAGTAGTTAAATCCCAAAGACCAAAGACCGCATCATGACTTGGTATCATGTCGCTGCCGGCATAATGCTGACCCACTTGTATTTCCAGATTTCAGAGTTGAATGTACCCGTCCCACCCCCCACATACACCAAAGTCACCTAGAACCACTTCCTATATTGAGTAAGATGTCACATAGAACCTGAGAGAAATTTCTTGCTAAAGGCCTCTTAGCTGGCTGCCAAGTGCAGGTTTGTCTTAGGGTTCCCAACACCCAGTTCTCTCTAAGTCCCTGGACAGAAATTGGGCAAACGAGATATGTCCCCACTTGGCCCCGCCGCCATGCTGGCCATAATGCTCGGCATACTGGCAATATGACCCTCCAATGCCCTCCACACTAGACCTGGCAAAATGCCGGCATACAGCACGTGAAGGTGCTGAAGGTGAAATAAGAACTCATCTGTCACAGTTGACAGTTGCAGCCCGTGTGCAACAGAATTTTTTCTCCGTATTCACTGCATAGACTTCGGAAATGTTTTAGCAAAATCTCAAGCTATCCCCATTGAATAGACTGCTGATTTGGTCCACATTTTATATACGAAGCCATGATAAAGAAGATAAGATCTCAGTAATTTCATTTAGGAAGTGACACATTTTAGAAATATGAGCGCTAAATCTACTTTTTTGATGGCCAGCAAGACGTTCCCTGAAAACATACCTAGCTGAGGACGCTGGTCTTCAGTTTTGGGCACTGTGGAAGGAGACGGCTGAGCAGCTGAAAATCCAAAAACAAAGGACAGGGTAGCTGTAACTTCTGTTTGAAACATTAGTCTTTGATGGTGTTATAGCACCATTCCAACAATTATCTTAATTATTAACAGGTCATCTTACTGTTATACTAAGTTGCATTTAATGGCAAGAAATTTCCTTTATACCAAATGTATAAATTGTAGCAAAAGAGAGAGAGAGAGAGAGAGCACTTTAAATTATTTTTAAAAAATTATTTATACAACACTGTTTCCAAAACTAGAAAAAAAAAAGAATTTGAGAAACAGATTAAAATGAATTATAGTCTAAACGAAACAGAAAAGGGAAAATCACCAGGAAAATAAAGTTACAGATACTTTCAAACATGGCCAAGATTAGGAAATCACCCAGTATTTAATCTTTGCCCAGACATCTCAGGAGACTTGCCTTTGTCCTTGTTGAAATATTACATCATTTGTTTCTTTTTGTTATGGAAGTATGGAAGTAGGCATAACCCCAGTAGAGAAAGAATCATTGCATTTAAAGATCAGTTGCACTTTGTTGCCAATGGAACAAACACTCTATGCATTGAAAAAGCATAGATTCCCTGCAGAAATTATGTGTTCCATCAATGGTTATCTACTGCCTTGTGACATGCAGACTCAAGCAGCTGGGCCAACACTATACCTTTCGACTGGGGGGTGGGGTGGCCGTGACTAGTCCAGGCTGATCTCCTGGGTGGGTCATAAGGTAAATCTGCAAAGACAAATAAATCAACTAAAAGATCAATAATGTAATTTATAATAGATATATTCTGTGTTTTTTGTGATTGCCATAATTTTTGTGTTTATTAGAAAAAATACTGTGGATGGAAATCCAGTAATCCATAGAAATACCAAACCTGTATTCCATTAGGTTTGGGTTTTACTTAGAAATTATCATTTTGTTTAGTCTGTTGATCTAACATTTTCACCCACTGATCTGACAACTCTGACAGATTCTTGCAGTTTGCTGAGTCTTCCAAGGAAATTTCCTACAATCATCATAGCTCAAGACCATATTGAGTTTCTCACAGTCTACTTGGACCTGCTTCTACCTACGACCGACCTAAATTTACCCCTTTGTTATCTTCATGACTCATGCAGACCAGTGCTCACAAATTTGTAAGTCCACCAGTTCTTGCTCAATGCCTGCCCCCAAGTCCACCAAAACACACTCATGTCCTTTCTCTTCTTCTTCCCTGGAAATGAGCATGCCCACTTATCCTCTTACTGGCCAGCTGCCTCTCTCAGTGACCCTTCATTTTCTCTTTAATAATCTCACCCAGTTATATTAAATCAGTCTTAAGTGTCCTGTTCTTTTTCTATGTGAATATCTCTTCCTCTAAATGAAATTAGAATTTCTCTAAAAGAACTGCATGAAATCAATCACAAGACAAATAATATTGCATGTTAACAATGAGCATAGGAGCTGAAGCCTAGGGGTGCCTGGGTGGCTCAGTCAGTTGAGTGTCTGTCATTGGCTCAGGTCATGATCCCAGGACCCTGGGATGGAGGCCTGCATTGGGCTCCCTGCTCAGAGGGGAGTCCGCTTCTCTGTCTGCCCCTCACTCCGCTCATGCTCTCTCTCTCTCTCTCTCTCAAGTAAATAACTAAATGTTTAAAAAAAAAAAAAAAGCTGAAGCATAAGCCATTAATTTCTTTGTATTTCCAATGCATTATCATTTGTCTCCTAAATCATCATTGCACTTCGCAATGCAAATTTAACTAAACTTCTGTAACCTCTGCACAAGTTCTATTAACGATTATGAAGATTTTAAGTCATTTCAAGGTTCTTCCAGAAATATACTCCAGAACATTACCATGCATATTCTTACTAACGGTGCATACACAAAGTGATTTCTACACAAAATCCCATTAGAGATCCACTTCAAAACTATGTCTTCTTGAATTGATGGGGACTCAGTTCAATGCCATGTGTCATTCTGAGCCACCTGAAAGCCACAGCCAGATACTTCAGCACACCTGGATCTTGCTACAAAATCTCACTCAGAGGGCAGGGCGAGTCAATGAGTTTAAAGCCTCTCTTTAAACAGATGAGTTGACCCTATTTTAGATTGGTAATCTGGTGGGTCCATCTTCAAAAAGTTTGACTAAGTTGCTAAAGATGCATCTCTCCTTATTTTCAGATCCCTAAGAGAATACCATTGAAATGCAACGTGAAATTCAACCCAGAGTTGCCTTAATTTATTTGATCTGTCTGGCTACAAGCAACTCGACCAGTGTGGTCTCTGAAATCCTACCCTCTATAGCGCTGTTTGAGTAAGATGATTTTTTCTTTTTAAACTGCTATTGCTCACTCCTCCTTCTCTGCTAGCATTTTTGCAGTTTGGACCAGAACCTTTTCCCACTCAGCTCCTCAGAGTCTCAATTTTCTGGTGCTGGGATTGCACATGGGAATTAAATCTGTAGCCGCTATCAATTTACAACTGAATTTCAACTTAAGTCTCTGGGAGCCCTTTGCACACAGACCCTCGTCCAGTCGCATTTTGTCTTAAAAAAACTGGTCAGCCAGGGTTTCAGTGTCAGAACGTCTCAGAAGGAGACCAGTCTACTTGTCTACTATAGCCAAGTCTATATATATAGTCTACTATGTATAGTCAAGTCTACTATAACAGCATTGAGGTGAACTCAGGAGGTGACAGGCACATCTTGACAAGGAGTTTCTGCTGACCAAGTGAAAAAGCAAGACAATACCGAAACATTTTCTAGAGCCTAGATCTCAAAGTGTGGTCCACAAGCCAGCAATGTTGGCAACATCTGGGAGCTTGGGAGAAAGGCAGAATCTCAGTCCAGAGCTACTGAATCAGAATCTGCATTTTGACAAGATCTCAGGTGACCTGGGAACACACTGTATGTGTTTGAGCAAACATGTTCTAGACAATTTCCAGTACTTGTTTCTAGGCGGGAATCTGTGTTCCTACAGATAGGGATCTCGGAACTACTATCTGAGTGTGTCAGTAGAAGTGAATAGAAGCATGCAAAGAGCTCTACTTTGGGTCTTTTTTACTGGAGAGAATGCTAAGAGAATGAACAGCAAATGTCAGCAGGCTGGTCCCCTCCCACCCTGAACATAAAAGCGTTGCTCATGAAACTGGGACTGGAAAAAATTAAACACCCAACTACCGAGAGAAAAATATTTTGAAACCCTTTTTTCATAAATCCTTCTTAGGATATATAACCATGTTCCATCCTCCCTTGAAAATAAGTCAGGACCTAAATAACACCAAGTCTGATTTTTAGCCAAGAATTTGTGATGTTTATATGAACGATGATTAACATGTTCATAAACATATTGCCATGGAAGATAAGTAGGCTTTTGTTTTCGTTCATGAAATTCTGGTCCTGTGCTCCCTTATCAGCTACCGCTCACGCGCTGTGGGCACTGAGCCTCCCTCCTGTGGGAGGGGACACTGGGCAGGACTGAATGAAGCCACACTGGGACAGGAGGTCACGGCAGAGACCCTTCCAGCCACACCACCCTGCAGCATGGCTGCTGCTGGGCAGCTCTCCTCTTGGGCTGCTTGAGAAATTAGGACTCCACGAGCATCTGCCATGTGTCCCTTACTAACAGTAGGACACAGAACTTCTACTACGAACAGATTTTACATTTAATTTTTGGCATTCGGTTCAACACATTCTCCGTTTCTCTTGATCTTTGAGGTAATTAACTCATACACTTGGCAGAAGGTCCCATGTCAGAGAAGGGCTGCTTTCTGGCATTGGGTCTGTTACCTTTTCTGTAACAGGCTGTGTATTTAAAAACCAAAATTTATAAAAAGTGTTTGGGAGCAGCTTAGGGTTACCATAGAAGCGTGTTTTATGCCATGATCCAGATCAAAAAGCACGAAACTGAAAATATGGAGTTTGACTGGCATTGGGTCCCTCCATACCAGCACCTTGATTTATCTCTTGGGAGCTGGGATCAGTTTCTGCTCCTCCACACCCACTCCCTTCCCTGGGCATCACTGAATCAAGAAAACATGTATATTCTACTCTCCTTTCTGCAGGGTTAAGTCCACCAAGTTTTGTATTCTGTTTTCATCAAGCTTAAAGATGAACATCCTCTAGCCCTCAGGATGTCCACCCACCTGCTTTATTTTTAATGGACCAGAACTTGGACCACAGGAGAACTCGTCTGCATTCTGCAGGATCCATGCCACGTTTGCAAAGCAGAGCTGAAGGGCCCTAGCTGGGCTGGGGGAGGGAGGGAAGGATGAGATCTGCCTGCTGTCAATGAATCTAGATGCTAATGAGAAGACAGAAAGGCAGCCAGCTATTGCCCAGCACCAGCCGATAAACCCCTATTCAATGGCAGGAACCCTAATGTGATTAAGTCACTCTCCCTTGTTTTCCTCCAGACCATCCTCCAGGCTTCTAAAATCCTCTATCAAAGACATGGAGATCTGGGAACATCTTGTATTCCTTTGCCTCCTAGCTGTGTAGGTTGCTCTGGTAGGTCTAGCCAGGGAGAACACAAAGAGTCCATTTTTAGCCATGAGCTGGGATATAGGCTTTGCATAGCACCTACGTAGGAGAATGTACATTAGCTGCGTTGTCTTTCCACTCGCCTGGTGACACCAAACGTCACAAGTTGTGAACTCCAACCACGAAATCATTTAAGATCCTGAGAAACCCCTGAAGATCACCAGCTGAAAAGTCAAAGTCAAGGCTGCATTTGCCGGTTCAGCCCTCCAGTCCCTTTTGAGCACATTCTAGATGCGTGTCATGATGTGTGGACTGTGTGCTGAGGGAAGAGGAGAGACGGGATTTCAGAATGTCCCTGTTGGCATACACCAGAGCTTTCCTATAAACTGCCCATAAGATGCCAGGTGGGGTGACACATCATGAGGTCAAAAACCAGGATGCAAGGTTTGATGACTTGGACCTGTCTCTTTTATGTCACTTGAGACCCCAAGGGGCCATGGCTCCAAGAGGCATGTGTTCAGCAAGGAAGGAGGGTACTTAAAAGGGTACTTACAAGAGAGGTGGAGAAAGGGCTTCTGGTAGTTCTAACTGACACAACTCAAGAAACATGAAACACCATGAAATTATGACCACGAAAACTAGAACATAAAATGATACACCTATGTGCTAACACTTTATAAGAGTAGGGAAGAGAAGGGTCTACATGTTAACTGAGCAACGGGATCATGAAAGAGGGTGCATTTTGAATCAGGAACGTTTGGACAAAGCAAATAGGAGCAAGCCTGGGAAGAGAAGGGAGAGGCATGAACAAAGCAGTGAAACGTCCATGTGTGCATTCATTCAAGGTCGAGCCCTGCCTCCGCCTAGTAGAGAAGTCCCTCTCTTCTCCAAGGTTAAACCCCTGAATCTGCCTTTCAGCAAATAGTGCTGGATTGTTGGGTCTGATTCAAACTCTTTATAGTCATATCCCAGTATGTGTGTATCTCCCCTGACATTCACAGTAGCAGTCATCAAGACAGATATTTTTGATAGAAACTGAGTGTCAGAAACATACTTTACTGGTATGGAGATAGGGAGCTGTGATCTCTTCCAGGTCACAGATCATGGCCCCAAGGCAGAGCCTTATCAGAGCTATGCAAGGTGCATCTGACTTTGCTGCCTGTCCTCCCCGTGACAAAGCACAGAGGGGTGTCCCAGCCATCACCTCCCAGCCTCCCCTTCTTCATATACCTGGGAGGCCGTATCTTCCAAATATACTATATCCTAAAATATGAAAAGGATATACTGTCCTTTGTAGCAACGAGCAACCAGCTAGCTGGTCTGACCATTGGGCTGTACCAATGGATTTGGCCAGTGTTGTGATCTTTTGACAAATCTCCAAACACTAGCTCACAATCCTGGATTTTGCACCTCAGTCAGGGGCACCTATGAGGCAGCTTCAAGCAAACAAGGAAACAAGCAAACACGCCCTGAACCCCCATTTTAGAAAGCTTTTATTTTTTTAAGTTTGGATGGAAATGTTTTTTAAATGCTCACAAAACCATTGTGCTTTCCCTACACTTCCATTTTCCCAAGGATGCATTTATTAGAGGTAAATGGTGGGGTTCTTCATGGTCTATTTAACTCTAGACCCTGGGTCTTGTCCCCACTTAAATGGCCTGGGAAGTCTCTACCAGGAAAGAGATAACCAAGCACTCTGGCCAAGGCTTTCCACCGTGTTCCCCAGGAGCAGGGCAACAAAGCCCTCCTCCGAGGTTTGAGAAGAAGATAATCAGCAGCTTGATGGCACTAAGGTGGTAACAGGGCAGTGTTGGGGTGGAAGAGACTCCGAGAAGCTTCTTTACTCATGCTTCTTAGCTCACTGGTCCCCAGTCTTTCTCACTGGAAAGAAACAGTGGTGCTAAGCTTAGCGCCCTGGATGAATTCAAAACGAGTCTTGTGCAGCCTGGATGTGAGCCAGAGGTCAAAGAGTGACAGCTTGGGTCTAGGAAGACATGAGTCTCAGATCCATGAATGGCTATGGAAAAACCAGCCCGCTGTCCCGAATCACCATGTTATCATTGCAAGTCCCAGTGAAGGGACAGAAGTCTACGCCATGCACGTGCTCCTTCTACTTGTCCATCTGCAAACATCTAGTCCTCCATTGGCATGTGGCCCCTCCCTGGAGAGCGTCCTTTTCCTTCTATGGGAGGTACATTTGCAAGCCCTGCTGCTCCTACAGTCTATGCCGTTAGAAGCTGCTCATGTGTGAGTGTCTGTTTCTGGCTCTATGATGCTAGCCCTTAGGGTTAACTACTCATGTGTGTGAGTCCATCTCTGGCTCTAGGTGACTCTATAGAAACATTGAGAAGTTTGGGCAAAACATGTACATGAGCCTGTGAGCTGTGTCCTTTCTACCTCTGTGGCCGGCATGCAGGAGGCGCTCCCCGGACATCTGTGGAGTAAAGAGCCCAGATTTCTGAAGACAGAATGCTTTCTGAAGTCTGACCCCCAGAATGTAACAGTGTGCTTATCACTACTAAGCCTTGGATAATACATATTTTTTCATGAACGATATGTAAATCAATTATCTACAGAAATCCTCAGGAAAGACATAAAGTAAGAGTCTGATATAAATTTTATCTATTACATGCTTCTGCCCTGAAGGACGGCCTCCTGTGACATCCGGGGGATCCCTGCCTAGCACTAAGGGGATGCCTCATGCTTCGTGTGCTCCCCCAAGGACATAAGTCCTTCCATGACCCCGAAAGCAGAGGGATTCCTTACTGCCAGGCATCTGGGGACCATCTTTGTCCATCTGTCTTTTAAAGTATCTCGTGAAGGGGCTGATCTGCTTTGAATTCTGCAGTCAAGGACCTTTGGTGTGATCTTTGAATGAGAGGGTCTGACTGAATTTAGGCTCCTAATCCACAGAGGAAGAATGAGACTGCTCAGGACTCTCTTCAAGACCCAGGATCCGCTCCCTCTGACTCACGTGACTTAGGTCACGGATCTCATGGGCCATCCTGGGATGTCTCTCAAGGAACAGATCCCACAGTGGGGGTTTTCGTACCTGGCCTAGTTGTAATTCTTTGCGTGGCTTCAGGATATACTGAAGTATTTGGGAATATAAAAGCTGCACCCCCTGCAGACAAAAGGAAAGACAAAACATGTGAAGGTCTGTTGTCGTGGTTGTTGATCTCAGCAACCATGCCAAATCGACTTTGCCCTATGACACCAAAGAGAAGCGCCCCCCTCGAGCCTGCTCTTCCAGACTTTGAGGAGGACGGGACAGACACAAGGGGCAGAAACTGATTCTGACTACGGAAGTGGGTGGCAAGCTGTTTTGTGCCCCATTTGTGATAAAGTGTCTCGTGTTTTGATCTTACGGCTTCTTGCTGAAGCCCATCTGTGTGTCCTCCTCCCCCACCAGCAATCTCATTTTATTGAAAAAAAAAATTCTGTGGTGTGTCTTTTCATTTTTAAATTGCATAAAAAATCCACAAAACATTTGACAGAGCCCTTGGAAAGTCATACCAAAAGATTACAAATATGTTGTCAAAGACTATATGGATCTTATTAAAAATGATTTCCCATCTCTATTCAAATGCATGTCTCCCCATCTCTCTCTCAATCAATGCCCCTGTCGTTAGCAGAAAAAAATTCCCTTTCTGTAGTCCGGTCCATTTGGAATTGGTTGTCCTTTTCTTCAATTGTTCAATGTTTCACAGTCACGAAAGTAAGGAAAACAGAGCCTTCTTGAAACTTTCCCTCAGTGTTATGCATTTTTTAAAACAACTGCAAAATTATCAGAAAGTGTGTATGGCTCAAAGGTGTTTCCTAAGAGAAGGAAATTACTTTGTCTAAGTTATTTGTTATTTCTGGCCACAAGGTCATTAATAGGCTGATGTGTGTAACCTCTGCTGAAAAAGCACAAGACTGACTCGAAGCATTTTTTTTCTTACTTCACATTAAAAGCACAATGTTCTGAATGTTGAGGACCAAGATTAAGCAGCAATTTCATTGTAACACTCAGGCCTAGACTCACGCACAAGACACATTTTAAAGTAAACTGGCGAATGGTTGGAACACGGCTGTACTTCCACGTGAGGCTGGCCATGAACTGGCTTCTTGGCTTACAAGCCAGTGACCCACGCCTTGCCAGAACATGCAGGTTTTTCCCCTAGCCTGGGTGGTGGCGGAGGGTCCCCACAGGCTGGTACAGTGGGGTGAGCAGCCTGTGGCCATGCTTCTACACTGGTCTCTATCAAGAGGGAGACAACGGAGGCCAGCCAGGAGCACATTCATCTGCAGAAAGCCAGCTTCTACTATAAGGGGAGGTGGGGGTGGGGGGAGGGAAGGTTAGCAGGGACAAAGCATCCTGTTAAAGTCTACCAGGCTCAGGCAATACACAAAGAGAATGCAGAATCTGTGGTTAGAGATAGAATAGCAGGGATTGGGTTAGCCACTAATTTCATATCCTCCAAAATTATTATAGCTTCCCTTTCAACAAAAGCTCACCAAAAGTAACACATGAGCATTCCTTTCTACTACTGCCTTTTGCAAATGTCCAAAGTCTGTGCAAGAAGACTAAAGTCAAGACAAGTTAAATGTCCTAAAACGTTTCCTAAACGGGAAAAATAGAACTCCAGTTTGCCCTAGTACACATTCTTTGAAGAATAAAAAAAGAAAAAAAAAGGGAAAAGAAAAAGAGAAAGAATACTAAGGGCCCCTTCATATCAAACATGCTTTTAGTCTCTAGAGTCAGCACAGCACGTATTTGGGGAATAATAGCAGCAGATTATAATCCAGCAAATTTGAGCAAAGGCTATGGCTAAAGGCTAACTCTGCACATCTCAAGTCCTTTGATCGTCCTATGGAATGGGCAGAGCTCCTAAACCAGAGGGCGCCCCCTGCCTGTAGGCTCTGGTACCTCCCGCAAGAGCCTCCTGCCTTCAACCATCCTCTGGGTTCTGCCTTCCTGATGAGCTGCCCATCCCACCTGCCATCTTGAAAGCATGCAGCCTGTGGACAAGAGCCTGCATTCGTCCTGTGGGCAAGGGGCAGGGCCAGCATTACCTGTGTTTCTAGCATGCATTAACCGTGGAGAGTTTTGTAAGGCTTTATCAACATCATCTGAAGTCAAATGTGGAAGAGGAGCTACAAAACAAAACAGAAGCAACATCAAAATGAAAAAAAAAAAAAAAAAGAGAGAGAGAGAGAGAAAGAGAGAGAGAATTACCTTCCTTTAAAAAAATAAGAAAGAAGGAAGAAAAACACCTCCCCTCTCCCGCCTTCATATCCGGGGATGCTTGGAAATCTCTCCATGGCCCTGCTGCTGGTTAGCATGTTAAACCCTAGGTGGGCCCATATTCCATTCAGGGAGTAAGTGATCAGGATGCCAGGCAAAGCATTTACACCAGAGTTCACACCGCCCTGCTACCGCGCCGCCTCCGTCTCCTGCTAACCATGCTTGACGTCTGACAAATTAAAGCATGCAGCAAACTTGGTGAATTCATGCCCTCAATCGCCAATATGCCATTCCCATTCTGTCAGGTGAAGCCACATTTCGTGATCCCAAATGGAAACTTCCCTCCTTTTGTGTGCAGGTGGGATCGGGAGGGGACTTGGTTTAGCTTTAGGGAGGATAAACCCCATAATTCCCATGAGGTAGGAGCTTTTCTGTTTCTGTTTCAGTGTGGGGCACCATGAAGGCTCAATCATGTGTGACCAGATAAAGCTTTGGTTCCCTTTGCCACGTGATCTGCTCAATGGAGGGGACCCTGGTGGAGAGAGCTGAAGGCTAACGTGAATTTTTGGCTTCTGGGGGAAGCACTGGCTGCTTCTCACCACATTCACCTACATCATGGCCTTGTAAGCAGTTGGTTGTCTCAGACCCTAAATGAGAATGGGTGAGGGCAAGAAGAGAAGAAGCTGTCCACAGACTGTTGTGAACTCTCTCGGCTCAGGCTCACCAGAACCAGCACAACAGTGATCTCGGCCCCAAGCGGGGACCATCTTACTCTCTCTGAGGTAGTGCAGGTGCGAGAGAAGGATGTCAGCGTTGTAGCTTGGGGTGAGCCTCTGGAAGTCGTCCTTGGTCATCTTGCACAGTTCCTTCCCGTCAATGTTCTGGAACAGCAAGATATCGACGTCTGGGAGGCCGTATTCTTTCACTGCCCACTCCAGCCACTGCCGGACATGGTCCGTACTCCACAGCGTAGGGTCTGGAAGGGGATGGAACATAACTGATCAACTCCCGAAGACGTATTTCTGGGGCAGAGCTACCTCCCAGGCAGGATCCCCAGCAGCTGCAGCTTTCCAGAACAGCCCCTTTTCCCACTGTCCCAGAAGAACGGCCTCCAGCTCAGCTCAGTGACCTGTCAAAAGAAGGTGATATGGGGGAAAGACCAAAAAAAAAACGCCAACTGACTGACATGCAGTGATCATTGCCTTTAAAGTGGATTGTTCTGGAAGTCTAGGATTATTGATTTAAAAATGAAAAAAGATATGGCAACATTCTTTCCTTATTAAACCATGGGCATCTTTATATGAAAATAAAAAGTTCAAGACACAAATCAGGAAAATGTTTACTATCACACAAAAAATGTATTTGTACAAAATACTGGAAAAAAATAGCCATAAAATTGGAAATAGAGTGGAGGAAAACCAAAACCCAAGCACCTCCAATGAGCTAGTATTTCTAAAAGAGAGTTGTCAGTTCCTTGCTTTTCCCTCAGAGAATTTGGTTTTGTACCTACCTGGCACCTGCAGGGGGAGGGGACAGGCTGGGGGACTTTCACACCCCACAACATGCTGGCAATGTCATCACGTTCCACTGCTATGTGTTGGGGGGAATCTGTGCCCCCAGAGGGCACAGCCTTGAGGAGACAGAGCAGGCAGTCCTTGATGGAAATACAGCTGGGACTGTCCCACACGGACACTCTGGGTGGAGGGATATTTAAGGCCCCCAAATGCTGGTAGATGGGAGACACCCAGGCAGGAAGTAGGAGCCCAGAGTTTAAACCCCAGGGTCTCTCAAATTGCTGCAACCTCCAGAGACTGCTTCTCCTTTCTATATTTGTTTTACATGTAAAAGGAGAGCCTTGACCTTCGTTCTCTGGACAGGGCCTTAGAGATCAGGCATGCCAAGATGCTCTGATCATAATGAGTGAGAATTTGGTGTAGGGATAAGTCATCCATTCAAACCACTTCATAGCTAATAGCTCTAGAAGCTTGTCTCATCTTACTGATGTTTCAGGCTACCCAATATGGGACATGTGTGTCACTGGAAGATATTTCAAGTTTGCAAAAGTAAATAGCAGTAATAGTGAGAAACAGCCAGAGAGTCACGCCACCAGAGTTCTCACCTCTTCCCTCCCTTTCTTCCTTTTTCCTTCTGTCTCCTTCTATCTCCCCTAAAATTTCATATCTATTTTAATCGAAAGAAATAACTTCAAATCCAATGGAATCCACCTCCTTGCTTTCCCCTCCTAACACTCCAGAAGAAACCACCATTCTGAACTTGATACACTCATCATCCCTATGTACATTTGAATACTGTTGCCATATCAACTATGTGTACTGTCTGTGTTTTTAAACTTAACATGAATGATATCAGAGTTTTCAAAATGTGTCTAAGTTCATCCATGTAGGACTATTCAATCAGGTAAGCAGCTCTTGGGCCCTCTCACATTCATTGTCCCAATTTACTGACCAGTGAACATTTGAGTGTCCATCTCCCCATACACATGTAAAGGCATCTGCATTGGTCCACAGCCCTGAGTCTATCTACACTGGGATCATGGGGAGAGGGAAGAGCTGAGCCTGGTCTCATCCTGGGAGATCGGAACTATTAAAAACTCCCTAGGTAATTCTTACGTGCAGGCAAGTTTAGACCATCACCCACAAGGCCTCACTGCTCCAAGTGTGGTCCTGGGATCTTGCAGCATCGACATCACCTGGGACCTACTTTGAAATGCAGAATCTCAGGTGCCACTCCAGACCCATATTTTCATCAGATCCTCAGATGACCCACCTGCAAGCATGGGGCAGTGCTGGCCTGAAGAGAGGACATAGATGTGGAATTGTTGGGGTGTAGTGAATGTACCTGTTCAATTTTTTCTGGTTAGGACGGGATGTCCACTGATTTTATGACACTCACACTCTCAACAAGCAATCAGTGCATAGAATCTGAAAACCAAGGAGAGTGCTGGTTCTGTGCCATCTGCAAAACCTGAAATGGCTGTGTTGACAGGAAGGTGTGCGCATTCCTGTGTAATTCAAACATACAGGAACACTTTGTTAGTCTGTGAAAATGGAGTGTGTATATGGAAGGTTAACTTGTTCACCCTTGAGCTCAGATGGCTGTTTGCCATTGGGTCAGGATTTGACCTTGGGGGATAAAATGGTCAAAACTCCAGACTGTTTTTATAGAAGATCTTCTCTCTTCTTTTTCTCACAGCCTGTCAATTCCTCATTATACAGACACAGATCATATTTAATGATCCCCAATTCAAGCCTTCGTGCCCCTTGGTTCTGTGTGGAGGACAGTCATGGCCTCTCAGACAGAAGATCCTCTTGTCCACCATGCTCCCCAGGTCATTTTTCTTAAATCCCACCACCATTAACCAAACCTTTCATGATTTTGTTTTGTTTTTGCCTTTAACAACGTAGAAGGACTATTTTTTTGGTGGGGAGGGGGAACTGGTACCTACTTCCTAGAAATCAGTTCATTCTGGGAATGTATTTTCTTCTCTTAATGGTTTAACTAGATATTCTAAAAACGATATATAAACATCTTCCCGAAAGTCATGGGCTTCATGTTAAAATGGTAAAATGATATATTAGGAAGACAGCCAAAAAAAGAAGTCTAATCTCTCTTTGGTCCCTTGGTGTGCTACTAATTGGTTTCCTTTGCTAAGCCCAGGGTTGTCACGGCTCATTCAATTTTCCTTTTAGGGACTCATGGGCGAGACCCCAGGGACCAATTCCTCGACCTGCATTGTTCTTATTACAAACATTCTTGCTTTGGGTTGGTGAAACAGCCGTTCTCCTGTACTGCTGGCATAACTATAAATTGCTACCACCTTTCCAACGAACAATTCGGCAATACATTTGAAACGTCTTTCAAAAAAAATGAGTGCATCGTTTCTGAACTAAAAATTCCACTTCTAGAAATTTATCGTAAGGAAATTATAGAGGATATGCGCAATGATTTATTTTCAAGGATGTTCTTTGTAGTGGTGTTTATAGTAGCATAACATTGGAAACACCCTAAATGTCCAACCAAAGAGAACTAGTTAAGTTGTGGCACATTTAGGGATGTTCCTGTGATACTTGGAAACTAAAATTATACCACTGAATATACTGATAGGAAAAAATGCTCAAAGTGGATTAAATTGAAAAGTTTGAAAACATTATTGACTCATAATTAAACTTTGCTAAGAAATGTAAATATATCCATGGAAAGAATTTTAGAGGGCCCAGTAATAAGAGGTCCGCTGTTGTCTCTGGAGAGAAGATGATGGAGATTTTTAGGTTTTCTTCTTGATCACTAAACATTTTCACTAAACTGTATTTTCTGTTTTTCTCTCCAATAACATGTAGTACTTAGGTTAAAAATTGTTTATAAAAATGTATTCTGCTCCATTTCAAAATCCAAACAAGATCTTACAAAAGGTTTAAACACACACACACACACACATACACACAAATAAAGAGAGTAGATGATGTGATGAGCCCTGGGTGTTATACACAACTGACAAATTATTGAACACTACCTCTGAAACTAGTGATGTACTATATGTTGGCTAATTAAATTTAAAGTGTTTTTACAAAATTTTCAAGGGTATAAAATTTTAATCTCACTTTCTTATACGGTTTATTAATGGGGATTGATTCATTTGAAAAGAATAAAGTTACTTGAAGTTGTGTTACTCCTGTTATCTTTTTGGGAATGGATCTCTACATCCCCACCCTATAGGGATCCCCCCCCATAAGCAAAGAATATGAAAAACAAACGATGTCCATATGACAGAGTAAAGAAGGTATGATAGAGTAAAGAAGGATGTTCCTTTCTGACATGTCCATGGGTGCCATTATTCTGGACCTACTCTGGAGGGGTCATAACAGAGAATACTTTTCAAGAGACAAGCCCGATCTCCCTCATATGAAGCACAGGACCCTGAGTTTGCCAGACCCCACTGTCTTCATAGGTGTCATTCCCAACCACTCCCCATCCCCTCATCCTACAGCCACACACAACTGCCTGCCCTCTCCTGAACCAACACCCCATGCCTGTGCCCAAACACCATCCATTGCTTGTGGGATTAGCCCCTTCTTATCCCCTCACTTTTGCTTACCACCTCCTTTGGGCATCTGTCCTCAATGTTCTTGAGAGCTAAGCACTTCTAATGACTCTCTGGGGCCACGCCAATGACAGGCCCAGATTAAGCCCCACAATCCCCAGTACCTGGGCCCAGCACAGATGCCACAGCCATAGGTAGCATTTTGTGGAGTTCAGGTCAGTGTTGAGTCCCAGCTGAGTCCCAGCTCTCCCTTCAACTCCACAGAGAGCCCAGTAGAGTCTCTCCAGTTTCCTCCATGGCCCATGGTATGTCAGCAAAGCTTTCTTTTTCTGCCCCATGCTGCCATTACAGAAGGGGGCTCACAAGGTCCCACAAGATTCAACAGAGCTCACCTTCTTCCCCGACCCCTAACTATGCAAGGGAAGGAGAAAGGAGAGGGGACCACAGAATGAACCCCAGCCAAGCATCACCTTTGGCTATGTTAAAGGCATGCCATCCCACACCTTCGGCCTCCAGAAAGCAGTGCAACTCAGGACCTACCAGATCTCATGATGGATTGCTTTCAAGGACCTCAGGAATGACTCCCATAGGAGAAGGACTAAGAATTGCTGAGAATTTACTGTATACACAAATAGTATGGGAGATTCAGAGGTGGCCAGGAAAGAGAAAGATGCCAAGGAAAAGGGTAAAGTTTTCACTGGAAGCGCTTGGCTTGAGCCTGTGTCAAGGAACAGTATTTGACTGAATTCTGGTGAAAGGAGCATGGAGAAGCCCTTTAGCTTAGGCAAACAGCGGGAGCCCAGCTTCATACCCGCTGAGGTGTGAAACCCTTGTGGTGCTGAGGGAGAAGGAAGAAATCAGGTGTGGCTGGAGTAGAGGGTTGGAGAGGGAACACACAGACGTAGAAGGACGGAGAT